TTTTTTGTGCTCGCCATCACACCATCACCATCCCTCCTCAACCCTCTTTACTCACCCATATCCGACACTCCCTCACCATCACAACATACCTCCCACACGCGCAGTCTCCAAACCGCACCACCACGACCTCTGGACCGCATAATTAGTGATCTCACGCACCGCGACACGACCTGTCCAGTCTCACTTTCTTTTCGACCTTTCTGCTGTCCCCAAGCTTATATTCGGTCACGCTCACCTTCCTCCCATCATAGTCTCACGATGAAGTTCAGTCTGGCAGCCGTTACCGCGCTCCTTGCCGTCGCTCAAACTGTGACCAGTACGGCAGTGATTACTCAACCGGTCGCATCCACGGACAAGAACGGTGGCAGTCGCCTCACCGTTGAGTGGCACGACGACAACAAGGCCCCCACGCTGAAGGACTGGGGAGACATCAACATCTTCCTCGCTGCTGGATCGCAAAACGTCCAGTTCAAGCTCCAAGAAGTGGCTTCTGGCGTCAAGAGCACCGCTACTTCGAAGCGTTTCAAGATTGACCCTAGCATCGGCGAGACTGGACAGTACTAGTGAGTAGAGCAGAGGCACTCGGATTAATGTACAGGGCGCGTTGGCTGGCGAGGCAATGCTGGTTGCGAGGACGTCGAGATTCAATATACGGCGCTGGTCGCACACTGCTTTGTTTGACATGCCCATAGATGCGCATTTTGCCAGCACAGACACGGATCCGATTACGAATGTAGTTGCCGCGTCCGTTCCATATTGACTGACACTTCTCTCACTGTACCTCTTGTGTCCAGCTTCATCCGCATGGAGGGCACCAAGCTCGGAGCCAACAACCTCCCGCCCATGTCCTTCTCTGCCCGTTTCAAGTTGGACAAGATGACTGGTCACTTCAACTCAACCGTCCTTGCGGCAGCGAAGGGCCAGGAGGGCGCTGCTTCTCCTACCGCTGGCGCGGCAAAGGTGTCGTCGACCTCGACTCTCAGCACTCAGAGAGCCTCTGCGACCCCTCTCACCGGCAGCGCTTCTGCCAACCGTAGCTCTTCTAACACCTCCGGCTCGAGCTCGGCTGCTGGAATCGTCTTGCCCGCTCACTTCTTGAGCGCAGCGGCCGGTATCGGAGCTGCGGCTGTGGGAGCCGTGATGCTCTTGTAAAGACAGAGACGGAGCCTAGTGCCAAGATTTCTCTGGTCATCTAAAAACGCCTGGTCTATGCTTGATTCGTCTCTCTCGTCTTGGTTCCTGGTCATCCATGCATCCCTCTAGTACACCGGTCCGACGGCATCAGTCCCCATCTCACAGCTCGTGGCTCTGCGACGTCCGCGCATTTGCGCACACACTCTCTCCCTTCTCTCCATGGCGCAGATTATCCACCTTGTCTTTCGCGGATAACAATGGTGCATCCAATGTCTGACCGCATTGCTTGACACACCACAATTTCCGCTCGACGCCTTCGCTTGTGCATGCCCGTCCACTACTGCCGGCTGTACACAGCTCGTCCTCTCTATACTCCCTTCGCAGTTGCTCTCGCACGAGAG